TACTACTACCGCTGCTACCGCTACCGCTACCGCGACTGCTCCTTCTACTGCTACTGCTACGAATGCCTAAATTTGGTCAATGCAATTCAATGTAAGATAATACATTGCAATCTGACATCTTTTCAATATGCCATATTGTACTGTAAAAAATGACATACCATACCGTGACCTGATATGGTGTGATATGATTTTTGATATGGTATGATGTGGTTTGACAGGATAGGATAGGATAGGATAGGATAGGATAGGATAGGATAGGATAGGATAGGATAGGACATGAGATTATATGGTATGATATGATATGGAATGAGATGACATAATATGATATATATATATATATTATTATTATTATTATTATTGTATAAACCATCATGAACATAACCCTCTAGTTATACTGTGTTGCAATATAATGCAGCATACGCAGGCATAGCAAAGAATACACCGCTGTGGTATAGTTTCTAACTATGTAATGCTATGCCATGTGATGTAGTGTAGCGTTATGTAACGGCATGTGATGCAGCATGACGAACATGTGATGGCAAACCATCACACGACATAACATAAAGCAACACAACATCGCGAAACATAAATTAAGAGCACGCTGCACAATGCTACCATGTCGTGCAATGTAGTGCAACATGCTATAGCACAAAAATGTGGTATGACATACTCGAATATCAAATCATGGCATGACATGAAGAGTGTTACTCGGATATCAAATCATGGCATGGCATGAAGAGTGCGAACGAATAATATAGTATGTTAACACGTAACCTAGTATGCACTATGATAAACCATTATTAAAATATAGTACGATATAGTACCAATAATTGTAACATCACATGATGTAATATATTTGAATATAGCATAGCAAAATATTATACAATGCAGCATAATACAATACACCAGTAAACAATAATACAATTTCATAAACGGGAATCGCGTGTTATAATGCAACACAGCATAACACAAACTTGCGTTATGTTATGCTCTGCTATGCTACATTGGTTTTGCTCATGATACAACCCTGAACCCTAAGCTCCCTAAACCCCAAACTCTAAAGCGCCAAAGCCCTAAACCCCCAAACTCAAAGCCCTAACACAGAGGCCTTAATAATCAGAATCGGGTTTTGGGGTATACTATACTATAATTACACTAAGGAATCCCCCCAAAAAATGCTATTGGTGATTATTTAGGCTTCTATATTAAGCTAAACCCCTAAACCCTAAACCCCTAACCCCAAACCCAAAGCCCTAACCCCCCTAAACCCTCTAAACCCCCCAAACCCCAAACCCCCTAAACCACCTAAACCGCCTAAACCCCCAAAGCCCCTTAAACCCCCTAAACCCTAAAACCCCAACCCCAAACCCCAAACCCAAAGTCCTAAACCCCAAACCCCCTATACCCCATTTGGATCACTGCCCTGGGAACCAGATCTGAGGCCCACACTCTTT